GCTCCTGGCGTAATATCGCCAGCAGATCCTGCGGGATGTGGCGGGCGATGACACGCAACCCCACCTCCCGCGCGCCTTGGGGGACCTCGTACAGCAGCCGATTGATCCAATCTATCGGGTAGCGCCCGCCCTCCAGTGGGGGCGGATGCCGCGCGACCTCGCTGGCTGGGACCTCCACCCTGACACCCTCGAGGCTGGCCCCGATGACAAGTCGGGCGTCCCCGCCAGTGCCCCGTGCGTCGAGCCCCTCGCATTCACCCAGTAGAATGTACCAAGGACTCGCCGGGGGCGCGCCATATGCATCCTCGGCTCCCCGGGGATCGTCTGGGAGTATCGGGCAGACCTTCGCGAGGATGGGCTCCTGGAGCCACCCGTGATGGGCGATCCGATCGCCCGGGGCTCCACGGTCGGCGGACCGCGAGCGTTCGCTGGCCCTCGCTTCCGCGGATCGTGATCGACGCGGCTGCGGTCCAGAGGCCAGAGCCTGTACCCTCGTGGGCTCAAGATCGACGGATGGGGCCACCGCGGGGGGTGGTGGCGCAGCGAGCGGGGGGTAGGCCGCCCCTGGCGCTACGCCTACCCCCTCGGCGGCGTGCGCGGTCCAGTCGCGCGCCTTGGCGGGGCTTGGTGCCCGCACTCTCATGCGACGGCGTAGGCCCCCGAGGATCCCCGGCTGGACCGTCGCCTCGACGCGTACGGTGTGGCCCTCGTCCCGTCGAAGGTGCTCCCCGCACATCGGGCCCCCCCCACAGCTACCCTTCGCCATGCGGAGGCACGTGGGAAGGCTGCACTTGCGGCCGATAAGGGTGGACCGATACTTCTGAGCATGGTGGGCGCAGAGATGCACCTGGGCATTGAGACAATGCCCCGGCCGAGGGACATCCGACACCTCTGCATCCTCCTGAAGCAAGACAGTCGCCTCCTGCATCCCTCGGTCACCGCGCCCCTCCGGCTGGAGGGGGCGTGCGCCGCCTGCTAGCTGCACCCCAACTTGTGCGGCTTGGCAGGGGCGCTCCTCAGCCTGCACCTCGCTCTCCGAATCGATATCCAAGCGGCGGCAACCCGTGGCGTCGGCGATGTAGCGGGGCTCCGGCCGAGCCCGGTACAGCCATCCGAACACCGACCAGGGCAGGCAGAGCAGCCATTTGAGGACCCCGAATACCTTCCGGAGCCCCACGCCGACTGCCCGGCAAGCTGTAGCCTTACCGTGCTCAGCCAAACGATCTGCGTGTGGTCGATGGCCGCGTACTGGTCGACATGCATGGGATGCGCCACCGGGCATGAGGCGCACTCGACGGCCCGGTCTCCTCGAGGTTCAGCCGCCACTTGCGACTGGTGCACCCCAGGACCTGCCCGATCTCAATGTTGAGTCCGTGGCGATCCAGCCGATACCGGTCCGCGAAGTTACAGCTGACACGGGCCACCTGCCCGTGCTTACGCAGGAGCACGTGGTTGCACGCCTGATTAGTCCCCCGGCCGCGCACCCCCTTTGCGTAGAACTCCGCTGCCACCGCGCCGCCTAACCCCGGCCCGCGCCAGCGCACCAGCAGAGGCGCTGGAGGGGGTGGGGGGAGGTGGGCGCCGGGCCCGTCGCCTCCGCGCCGCTGGCAGCACCGGGCAATCTGGTACCACGCCCAGCGGAGCCCCCCGGCAACCCACAGCATAGGCTGAGCTGCAGTGTTGACGATGAAGGCCAGGGCACCCAACACGAACGTGAAGATGCCCAACGCGAAGCAAAGGACCGCGGTCTCCCACCAGTACCCGAGCATCTTAACGCCCAGCTGATCGATGGTGGATCCAACCCAGCCACCGCTCGTGCGGATCGTGCCCGCGTGGTCGGGGGAGAGCTCACCCACGCACCGTAGCCCACGAACTCGAAGACCCAGGCGGCGAAGCCCCAACCTGGACCCGACCCCGTCTCAGGGGGCGGGGTGGGTGGCGGAGGTGGTGGCGGGGGCGTGCTCCAGCCGGCCCACCAGTGGGGCAGGTGCGGGACCCAACCGCTCCACCCCCAGTATCCATCCGACCCGCGCGGCTGGTCAAGCTCGCCATCGCCCGTCCGGTTCTCCGGGGCGGATGGCTGCCCAGGCGCGCCCATGGGCCCGTCGCTCTCCTCGCGCGCCGGCGTAGCAGGGCTGCCCGAGGGCTCGCCCTTGCCTACGCGCCCGATGCCCGCAGGGGTGGTCGTTGTCGTCGACCTCGCCCGCGGCGGCGAGGGAGCGCCTGGCACCCCTGGGGGCTTGGCCTGCGGCCCTCGCCCCTTCCCTCCTTCAGGCGCGGGCTTGGCGGGCGGACCTCGCCCTTTACCTTGCCCCCCGCCGCCTGTCGGTAGGGCTTTCGGTCCGGGCAGGGCTGGCGGCGTCGGCGCTGGGACCTCGTCCCCCGCGCGCCCGAACGGCAGCCAGCGCAGTGCCCCTTGGACCGAGAACGCACCACCCATAACCAGGATCATCCGGTGCGCCCCAAGGAAGCCCACAGCCATGGCATCACAGCAGCGCCCCCTAGTCCGCGGACTAGCACGGCTGCGGTTATGGCCGCACCGCGGCCCCCCGGAACACCCGCGCGTCGGCCTGAGCCGAACGCTACGGACTCAAAATGGCTACCTGAGCCCACACCCCCTCCCACTTAACCTGCAGTCTACAAACCAATCAGACTATACAATGCTCCAGCAGTGGTGCGAGGCGGTGTGGTCTGGAGCAGTGGCAGCCAGGGTATTGCAGGTGATCTTGGAGCTTGGCCAGCGGAAGCACGCAACTTCGAAGTCCCCTTGGCGGGTGGCGTGCTCTCCAGCAGACGTCTTGGTCCTCACACTAGACCGCGTTGGTTGGAATATGGTCAGCGGCACCGTCGTCCGGACCGACACGGCGGAGCAGTACGATCTCCATCGCACTTCGCCGTACCAGCTCAGGACCCTAGTGGAGGCTGCTGCCGTCCGGGCCTCTGACAGAATGGCCCTCTGCAGGGTCGGGTCGGGTGTCGCCGCCGCGGCCGCAGGGGGCGAGGCTGGTGGGCCGGCTCATCCTGGTGCACTCCCAGTGTTTTGGAGCGGTCTCAGACCACTCTTCTCCAGCGGGTGACCTCAGTCTGGACGCTGCGTCAGCAGCGAGCTCTGAGGGCCAGCATCTGCAACACCATCTGGAGCCAGGCCCGCTTGCTCGGCCACGGCCTCGTGCAGGATGCCTGTTGCACGCTTTGCCGGAGCGGCCTCGGCACGGTGTGGCATCGCTGTCACGAGTGCCCGGCGCATCAGCAATTGCGACGGGAGCGGGTTGGAGCACGCCATCTGCTCCGGGCTACCCGCGTGCGCGAGTGGAGCGTGGAAGGCGCAGAAAGGTTTGCTCGAGGGCTCTTACCTTCACCGACGCCCTTGCTGCCTCGTGTGGATCCCCCCGACTTGATTTCGTGGGTTAACCGTCCAGCCGATGGACTACTGCATGGGCCTTTGTTCACAGACGGCAGCGCGTTCAACATGGAGATCCCTGAGTTGGCCCGCGCTGGTTGGGCAGTTATTTAGGTCGATCGGTTCGGACGCATGGTGTCTGCCGCCTACGGGCCGGTCCCTTTCTGGGCTCCCGCGGCAGACTTCTAGAGACGGAGAGGATTTCGCCATCTTCATGCTCTGCGACCTCGTCTGGCCAGGCACCCATGACGTTTACATCGACTGCCAGGGGACCGTCGACACGTTGCAGGGCGGGCCTGGGGCCGGTGCCAGGCCGCAGGACCAACGACCTCACCTATGGGGACGAGTGTGGGGACACTTCAGCCTGGGGGACCTGATAGCTCACAAGACTCTTGGGCATGCCGCGTCTGCTGATGTCGACGCGGGGAGGTCCACGCACTGGGAGCGGGAGGCCGACGATGCCGTGGACCGCTTCGCTAAGCTCGGGGCCCACATGCACACGGTCATCACGTGCAGGGAGGTCCACCTGTGGAAGGGCTTTGAGGAGCTGGCTCGTGAGAGTGCTCGCTGGTTCGGCGAGCTGCAGGGCGTCATGGTGGACAACCGCCTGAACGACTACGAGGACGTGCTGGGCCCTTTCAGTTCCCCGCTAGCGCTCCCTGCAGGAGGGGCCATCAGTGGAGCTGCGGGTGCGGATGCGCCGCCCGCCATGCTGGCCGCTGCCGCTGGCGCTTCTGAGACGACCGTCGGCAGCCAGGCCGGCGCAGCTGAATGCCTGCGCCTGGGCAGCCAGAATGAGCTTGAACTTGAATTTGTATGGGACGGGTCGTGGAGCCAATACTGTGGGGTAGCTCTGCGCCTCGGCGGGCATGCACTTTTATGTACCCACATAGTTGAGCGCCCTGCCGAGACCATCGCATTTTGTTTTCGATGCGGAGGTTTTTTCTCTGCCCTCAAGCCCAGTGCTAAAATGCGGGGGCCGTGCCACGGGGCTCAGGCAGGGCCGCGCTATCGTGAGCAGCTGCGCCGCCTTACTAAGGGCAAGTTTCCTAGCACCAGGCCTCGCACCAAAGATCTGCACATAGGGGCCCCTGTTGGAATCGGCAGTGCTACGGCCAGCAAGCTAAGTAGCACTTGGGAGCCGCAGCGGGCGGAACCACCGAATGAAGATGTGCATGAGGCGCCTGGGGCCGATGCTGCCCCGGCCGCTCTCCCGAGCCAGACGGAGCAGCGCCAAATAGTGCTCCGATGCTTCGGGCTGGTTGAATCTGATTTAGATTGGGTGGCAGAGATTGGGCGAATCTCCACAGAGAGAGGCCGCAGAGCTGACAGTGACGGAGATTCCTGGGAGGATGAAGCCTCCGAGCCTGATTGAGGCCTGTGTTCTTGGACTGTCTGTGAGACCACACGCAACAACAACGCCTTGCCAACCTCTGCAGTGACTTAAGCAGAACTGCTGCGATGGGGGAGGAGGAGGGGGTGGCGGGAACATGGGAAGCGGGGGAGGGACGCGGACATGCAACCTCGCGTCGTGACAGAACCTCCGGTCGTGATTGTGCCACAGCGCGGGGACGCCAGGGGAGCGGACGGGAGGGAAGACCGCACGTCTGGTGGTCCTCGGCCCCGTCGCACGTGAAACCGCCGCGCCTGTCACAGCAGTCCACGCCCACCGCGAAGAACCCGACGGGGTCGGCATCGCCTGCTCTGGTGCGTACGTACCATGCATGTCTGATAAGGGGGCGGAGCGCAAGACCCTGAGAACCTCGCATCGTGAGAAGGACTCGACGACACCGAGGGCGGCCCTCGTCATGTGAGATAGCAGACTGCTGCCCCTCCCCACACCCTCAGCCCGAGAACGGCGAACAAAACTCTCGAAGACACTGTCCCTCAGGACCCGCCTGCTTCCTGGCGACTTCACGGCGAGGGAACAAAGGGCCCTGGGAACGGCAAGGCATGTATTTCCGTTTTCAGCAAAACTGTCCCTTGATCATGGAAGCGCAAAGAACCGTTCACCGAAACGGCCTGGATCCTGACGGCCGCGATGCTGGGTCCGACTGACGTTCAGAACGAGTTCGAAACCGACTCGGACCCTGTAAAAGAGCATTCTGGACTAGGCCCCCCTCAGGTGAAACGAACCTGTTAAAACAACGGCGCAAGAAACATTACAACAACTTACGCAGGAAACAGTAGCAACAAACTGACGAACGAAAACGGTGCAAAAAATGTTGTCGTTTCCAGGGCCCGCCCGCTCACTTCCTGGCAACTTCCCGGCGGGGGTGAGGGACAACGATCGGGGCGGGGGAGAGGGCAGCCCAGAGGGGGGAAGCATCGACCTGAAATCGGCGAGACATCGCCAAAAGAATGGAGAAATAGGCGCCCGGTAATGAATACGAACGTTCCCATCAAGCCCCCCGTCGGCGAAATGAAGAGGCGATCGGAGGCCGATTCAACCGACGCTCAACCTATGCCACCCTGACGCTAACCCTTGCTTGTCGGGTCATAACTCGGCCCTCGAGCGGCCGTCCAGGACGATCTGGGCACCCTCGGAACGCTCTCGGCGAGGCCCAGCCGCTGGAAGGCACCTTGGGGCTGGAGAGCCGCCGAGAACATTCGAACACGTACGAAAAGACATCGGAACTCGAAGCTCGAACTCCGAACCTCAGAACTTCGGAGCTCCTGGGAACGCCTGGGAGCGCTTAGAATGGGGGGTGGGAGGAGAAGGCGGGCGGGAGGAGTGAGGAGCGAGGGAGGAGGGAGAAGGGAAAATGAAGAGTAATGAGGTGGACGGAGGACGAGAAGGAGGAAGGAGGAGGAGGATGATAAGGAGGGGGAGGAAGAAGGACAATGGAAGGGGGGCGGAATGCGGAAAGAGGTGAAGGATGGGGAGGAGGAGAGACGAGGAGAAGGACACTGCCCCCGAAGGGATGACCGGCATCGCCGGTCGAGTTGTCGACCACTGGCGCCGCGCAGTAGGTGTGCGGCCAGGCCTGGAATCCCGCGGACGCGCCGACGTCGAGGGCGGCACCCGCGGCGAAGTGCAGGATGCCAGCGTCCGCGGCGAGCCTCGCGTCTCCTCCTCCTGCTCCTCCGCCTGCTCCTCCTCTGTCCTGCCCCTCCTCCTCCTCCTCCTCCTCCTCCTCCATCCTCCTCCTCTTTCCTCCTCTCATCCGCCTTCTCCTCCCCTTTCCTGCTGCTCCTCCTCCTCCTCCTCCTCCTTCTCCTCCATCCTCCTCTTTCCTGCCCCTCCTCCCCCTGCTCCTCCTCATGCTCCTTCTCCTCCTCCTCCTCCTCCTCCTGCTCCTCTTCATTCCTCCTTTTTCTCCCCCATTGCTGTTCCTTATCAATCACTCCTCCTTGTCGCGACTCGACTCGTATCGGTGGGGCGGGCGGGGCCTTTCGCCCGAGACTGCCTCACGTTTATGATCATGAAGCTGGATCTTTGCAAGGAGTTTCACGGATGTAGGTCGGGCCGTTCCCAAGCGCCGTGCACGGTCTTAAATGTTGCGAATGCTTCACGGATGGAGGGCGAGTCGTTTTCAACATGTAGCTCTCGCCTTCGCGCCGCGCACACTCGTCCTAAATGTTTGAGTCAACGTCGTGGGTGGATGGCGGTTCCGCTCCAGACCGTGGCTCGCACCTTAGCGCCGCCCACATTCACTTCATGAGAGTTTACAACAATGGGTGTATGAGTGTCATACGCTTGTGTTCCATACCAAGCGTCCCAGAGAGGGTGTTTTGGCACGTTGTCGGACTGCCAGGGCGCAATAGTTAGGTCCATTCGCGTTGTTGGAGTTCCCAGGAACGGTGGTCATTGCACGACTCAGGATCGTCAAGACGCAACAATAACGCAGTCTGGTCGTTTCAAGCAACCGATTGTCTTCCAACAAGGTACTTCCCTCAGCGGAAATGGATCCTGGCATGGGGAGCCTGCGAAGAGGGAACTTAGAGGGAGGGCTTTATTGCAATATCGTTGATGAGTCTTGGGTTTGCACTGGTCCTCCTCGTCCTCCTCCTCCTCCTCCTCCTCCTCCTCCTTCCATCCTCCTTCCCTCCTCCTCATTCCCTCATCCTTCCCCCCTCGTTTCCTCCTCCTTCCCTCCTCATCCTTTCCTCCGCCTTCCCTTCTCCTTCCCTCCTCCTGCCCCTCCAGCTGCTCATCTTTCTCTTTAAATCCTCTTCCTACTCCTCGCCGTCGTTCGCGATGCTGCGTTCGTCGTCGTCCTCGCCGTCGTCGTCTGTCTTCTTCGTCGTCAGTAGCCCGCTCCTCTTCCTGGACCTCGCGCCTCTCCGCGGGCACGCATGAGGCAAAGCTGGAATCCTAGGGTCGTACTTCGTGGCCCTCCTCTCGTCAGCTTCTTCCTCGTCGTCCTCGTCCTCTTTCCTCATCGCTCATCCTCCTCCTCCTCGTCCTCCTCCTCCTCCTTCCCTCCTCCCTCGTCGGCCCTCACTCCTCCCTCGTCGGCCCCCCTACTCCATTCCCCCTCCCTCGCTGGTCCTGCCCCCCCCTTCTCCTTTCCGAGGTGCCCGCCCTGGCTGAGGTCGTGGCTGGACAGACAGGGCAGGCTAGGGCAATTACCACAGGTCGGTGCTAAAGGGTCGAGTCTTCGGCGGGCGAAACTGGACGCACTTCCAATCAGAGGACTTGCAGAATCGAGAGAAGGAAAGGCTGTCGGTACAATTTCAAATGGGTGCTTGAATGACTATCCTCCATCCTCCTTCCTTACACATCGGTCCTCCGTCCGTTCTGCTCCGGATGCTGCCCCACCCCACGTCCGCGTTCACATAGCCTCCTTCCATCTCCTCTTCCTCCTCCTCCTCCTCCTCAGCCTCCTCGTCCCCCGCTCCCCCAAGGAGATGCCGATGCCGCTGCTCCCTGGCCCTCAGGGCGCGTTCCGACCAGGATTTCGAGGCGAGTCCAGCCGAGGAACACATATTACGACTAGTCGCGACAACGGCCGTTGCCCGCCCTGCCACCCCCCTCCCCACCCTGGTCGCGTCACGAGTCGTGCCAGGCGCCGTGCGGGGTTAGCGAGTCCAAGGCATTCCCAGAAAGCCCCAGCGCGAGTCGTGACGTGACCTGTCCCCTCCCGCCCTCCTACCGCCCCTGCTCACGCCCGTTATCGCCAGGAGGAAAAACATGACCCGTGGCGACGAGGGCTCTCCAGGACGAGCAGCGGTATGGGTATATGTTCATTCCCTGGGCCCCTCCAGCCGAGCCTCGGGTCCCAGGTTGGCAAAACGTCCGAGTGGCGCCTCAGCTGGTTGACGTGGATCCACGGCTCCATCGTGGTGCTGTTTGGGATTCCGAGAAGAATCCCCAAGATCCGCCCCCGCATTCTCTGGCGGATGCTGCGCGTATGGGTTTAAGTGCATGTGTGAATTCCAAAAGCCCTTTAGGGCGTCAGTGGTTTAGTGGGTTTCCTCTTCCAGCCTCCTTCTTCCCCTTCGGGGAGGTGTTGATCACTGCTCCTTTTTGATATACACACCCTCCCCCACCCGACTGTGGGCCAACCTGAGACATGCCCCCCCCCACCCCACACACACACACACTCACCATTCCTGTCAAACATTATCCTGGCGAAGGACCCAAACGCGTGAAGTTGTGAATGACGTAGTCGTGGGTATCGTCCTCGGTGAACCTCTCTCTGGGGCCACGACGCGTGTGACGAGTGTGCCACAATTGGCGGGTACGCCATGCGGACGCTTCCACCAGAGACGTCGTCGAAACCCCACGTGAGGCCACGAAACATGCGAAGGGTGCGCCGAAATGCAGGGTGGAGTCGCGTGCGGGCGCTGCCACTGGGGCCTCCGGTGGAGCACCGAGCACCTTACCGGGCCACCGCACGTGCGAGGGTTGCGCCGAAAAGGAAGTGGAACTGCATGCGGACCCTGCCACTGGGGCCTTCGGTGGACCAGACTATGGCCACGAAACGTGTGAAGGTGCGCCGAAATGGGGGTGGAACTTCATGCGGACCCTGCCACTGGGGCCCTGGGTGGAGCACCCTGTGGGGGCCACGAGACGTGTGAGAGGTGCGCCGAAATTGACGTGCAGTTGCATGCAAACCCTGCCACTGGGACCTTCGGTGGAGCACCCTGTGGGGCCACGAAATGAGGGGTGCGCCCGAATGGAGGTGGAACTGCACGCGGACCGTGCCATTGGGGCCTTCGGTGGAGCTACCTATGGAGCCACGTGGCGTGTGAGGGGTGCACCAACATGGAGGCAGCGGGAGGAGAGAGGGAGGATTGGGATGGAGGAGTGGTGAGAAGGAACGCGGGGTGCTGTCTGTTCAAAGCGAGGACCCAACACCACAAGATGGGTAGGACAACTTGCAGAATTCATGGGGCATGCGCGGGCGCCCCGCGACCACTTTGCATTGATTTGTGACAAGGACGGCGGAGGTGCCGTCATATTGTTCGCGGCCGTCATTCCTCTTGAGCGCGAAAAATACCCGTACCCTTACCTAGACAGGGTGGCAAGGGGCGGGGGGGGCGGTTCGTCGCAGCTGACGGCGGCTGCACAAGTGTAGAAACGACAGCCGATCGAGCATTACAGACCGCTGTCTTCTCGGGGCGCACATTAGCACCGATTGCACGTGCGTTCGAACCGGCGGAGTGCCCGACCCTCCGTTGGTTGTTGTCGATGTAGACCAGCTACTGCGGAGGCGCGCCCCCAGACACACATCCGGGCCTTGAGGAGTCAACGCGCACTCGGGGGCGCATGCGAACAACTCTGGCGCGAACGTCATTTGCGCGACAACCGCCTTATCGCGAATTGCTCGATGCAGAGACATCGCGAATCTGTGCCCTGGGCGAGGTCGCCAGAGGCCGCCCCCCTTGGACGGCCGTCTGCGGATCACCCCAGCTAGGTACGGTTGCCCCATGAAAACCCCAAGAACATACCCGTACCTAGCCAGGGTGCCGCAACTCACCCTAGCTAGGTCCGGGTATGTTTCGGTGGTGTCAGGAAGGTCCACGTACCTAGCCGAGGTGGCGGCAGGCCCAAAACGCTCTCGAGCACATATCATGCCCTCCAGAGCCGTCCCCGACGTGGCCGCTGCGGCCCCCCTGGGGGCGCGACATTGCAACGTCGTTCCTCAGGGCAGGCCCAGATGCATTGGTTGCCAGGATAGCGAGGACATGCGACTCTTTATCGATTGGGACAGGCGCCGCCACATATGGGCGGCTTTGAACTGCGCACGCACCACGATGCCCCGAGACGTCCCTAACAAAAACCAGCGCTTGTCGCTGCAATCAGACACCCAACCATCGAGCGCGCCGTTGCGTCTTGACGCGCGGATGCTGCACTGGCGCGCGCGGGGCAAGCTGACCGGGCACAATAGCAAGCACCCAGTCCCCCGGACGGCCCATCTCACCTTGGCTGGCCCCGGGTACGGGTATTTTTCGGACCAATGAATTCCCCCCAAAAAAAATAATGTGTTCGCGATGTGGACCGTGTGGTGGCCGAACACAAGCGCGCAAAGACGCTACTACCGCACCGCCTTCGGCGATCGGGGCCCCCCCCATGGGCCCGCACCAAAGGTCACTCCCGCGAAGGGGCACTCGCACGTGTACTCGAACCGTTGTGGGACCCCAGCAACTCTCGAGACTCTTCCTAAACGACCGTCTCGGCGCGATCTGACACCCTTCCAGCTCGGGGGCCCCGGGAGAGGTGAGACGACGGGCGATGCGACTCGCGGGTTGGCCAGCTTCCGCCAGCGGACCCGCCGCCGTTGCAACTCCGACCTGCCTCCGAGGAAGAGGTGTCCAGTCATCGGTCCCTCGAAGAAATACGAAGGCACTCCTGGAACTCTCCACAGCGTCGCACGCGCACGAGCACCGTGCGCCGGCGGACGCGCGCGGCAGCGCTATTGGACAATCGCGCCGAGTCCAGCAAACATCGGCAGCAACTCCCAGCGGGTCCAGTGCCGCGCGGGCACGGTGACAGGCCACGCGCTCACCAGCACGACGTCGAGGCCGAGCAGCGCAAAGAACCTCCCTCCTCCAGATGCCTCTCCTCGCCCTCCCTCTACAGCCTGCAGCCCCTCCTCCTCCTCCGCCTCCTCGACACCGCGTGTTTCGGACTCCATCGGCCCCGGTACCGGTCAGCCCTGCTGCTGATGACGATGATGATGGTGATGATGCTGATGATGCTGATGATGATGCTGATGCCGAATTTGATTATGATGATGATACTGATGATGGTACTGATGATGATGATGTTGATGATGACGATGTGATGATGCTGATGATGATGATGATGATGATGATGATGATGATGATGATGTTCATCCCTCCTGCTCCTTTCTTCCACCATGCCCTCCGCAAACACGGACACGAACAACGGGGCGGGCGGGGAGGAACGGCCAGCACTCCGCGAGACTCTCGAGCTGGCCTCTGCAAAATATGCTGCCTCCAGTGGCGGTGCTTGGAACATCTCACAGCGTGCGCGCCGCGGGCGGAGACTTTTCCTCCGATGTGGGCGGGTCGCGCGCGCGTCGCTGGTGGGCCGCGGGTGTCAGGGGCGTCCAAGAGAGGGGGGCGTCCGAGAGGGGGGGCGCAAATCATGTCTGGCGGCACGTGCGCGGCCCAGGGGGGGGGCGCCCGCGACGTAACGGCAGGAGAGCAAGCTGCAAGGGCAGGAGACCCTCCGCCAACCCCAGACTGGAGCACATGCGAGGGTGCCCCCCCAAAGGATGCACAAGAACATCCAGCGCACACGAAGAAAATTAGGGCACTCTCCCAGAACCGATCTCGATCTCATACCTCGCTTCGACCGGAAAGGGAAGTTTGCGAATTTCGCAACAGCCTCAAGCGAGAGAGCGCGTTCCGAATAGATTCGGAGTTCTTCTCGTGAGAGAGAGAGAGAGAGAGAGAAAAAAAAAAAAGACAGAGAGCGCAGTTCCTCGGCGACGAGGGCGCAGCGCCTCAGTGCATTGCAATGAAGTCGTGGGCGATAGCGCCATTCTGGAGTGAAATATGAGGTCTCGAGCGCGAGCGCGCTCTTGAAGACGGATTGACGAATCCTCAAGCGAGAGCCGTTGTTGCTGTAGTCTGGAGTGCAGGGACGCAGATTGGGCAGGAAGACTTCCCCTTGTCAACAACGGAGTACGAGCCCCAGGGAGCGGGCACTGCAATTGAAAAACAACACCTGTTCGTCAGAAGTCGCGACTATGCTCCCTCCTCCATCGTCACACGGGTCAGCGCTCCCTCCCCGGCAGCGACGGCGTAGAAGCCAGGCCATTCCCTGTGCCGGCGCGCACCGCTCGGTGGCCTCCGCCCTGCGAGAAACAATCACGCAGGCAAAGCTCAAGGTACGGATCGTCTCCCTAACACCTCCGTCCAAGTTCTCTCCTACCCCCTCCCTGCCTCCTCCCATCCGGATGCCGCCGCCCTCCCCTCTCCTCCTGAATCCCTCCTGAGCCTAAATCGGACTGACGGAACGAAGTGAGGCGGAGGAGGAGGAAATGCAGCAAGAGCAGCAGCAACAGGAGGAGAGCCATGGAATCACGGGCGCGGTGTGGTACATGTAAGTGAAGATGCCGACGAGCAGGACGAACCAGACGGGCGGGAGCTGAGCGGTCAGCAGCATCGCCAGCGACACCTCAAGGGAACAAGAACTGGCGCAGGCAAGAACCTTCGGAGGTCCACGCAGATGTTTCGGGTCGGCGCTGGACCTCCTCCCCTCTCAGAGGCGCCGCCGCAAAGGGGGGGGAGGTCCCACCAGGCACGGGGGCACCCCGCAGGAGCGACTGCCCTTCTCCCGCTCCAACTCCTCCTCCTCCGCCTTCTCCTCCTTCTCCTCCTTCTCCTCCATTATTTGCAGGGTGTTTGTTGGTTACCCCCCTCCTCCTCCTCCTCCTCCTCCTCCTCCTCCTCCTCCTCCTTGCTGTTCCTCCTCCTCCTTCTCCTCCTCTTCTTCTTCGCACTCGTTGCGTGAGAGGTCCTCCTGTTCCCTCCTCCTTGCTGTCCCTCCTCCTCCTCCCCCCTCCTCCTCCTCCTCATCCTCCTCATCCTCCTCCTCCTCCTCCTCCTCCACCTCCTCCTCCTCCAGTTCCTCGTTGCACGAGAGGTCCTCGTGCTGTTCATCCTCCTCCTCCTTCTCCTCCTCTTCCTCCTCCTCGTGCCTGTCCTCCTCCTCCGCGGCCCAGGCACCCGTCCAGCTTCAGGACGGGTGGCCACCGCGGGATACATCGCCGATGGATCGGCGACATGCTGCCGATGGCGAAACCGAGCGTTCCTAGGCGGGGTGGGCTATCGGGCCCCTGTCGGCCAGGAATGGGCGATTGGGGGTCGATGTGCCGTACCCTGCGCGAATCCCCCCGCGAACGTTGCCCCC